TTAAAAATGTCAGCATCATTTTACCATTTTCTAAAATTCATACATAGGAGGATAGACAATATATGAACAAATAGCATGCCAGACTACCCGTTTAAAGAAGTTAACATTTGTTTTCTGGAGCACCTGACTCTAAAGCATTGAATCATTTCTGGAAGCAAAAACAACCAAAATATGTAAAGTCCTACTATTTTATAACTAGGCAAATCCTGGCACCATTTGTATAAGCAGCCTGCCTATTCCAATATCATAGTAACGTTGTGTCCTGCACGAATTAGACTTGTAGCAAATGCATTTGAGTTATTAGAAGTTCAATGACTTGCCCACTGGGAAGCCCCTGCTACAACTCTCCCTTATGAGTTAGCTTTCTTCTAATCACAGGAGGTTTATTTCTCAGTCTAAAATGCCATGTTAAAAAAAATTGATTGTAAATTAAAGCACATTATTTAAAACTGCAACCCAATGTATTTAAGCTTTTATATCATTTTATAGTCAGTATTTTTCTCACTCTGTTCTACCTATGTGCACATAAACCTGTTCAACAGCTCTTCCCAAGCATCTAGAGAACCCAGGTCTAGAGAAGCTGTCCCGTGTGTCACGGGCGATGGCTCTAGGTGGCTCTGAGGGAACAGTAGGACAGGAGGAGGCCAGGCCAGGCCCACTCCTGTGTGGCGCCGATTCTGGGCCCTGCATGAGGAGGAGCCGCAGAAAGTCAGGCTCTGCTACTGCCCATGCTATTGAAGAGCACCAGGAAGGAGAGTGGAGGTGGAGGACGGCACCTTTCGCCGGGGCTCTGTCTCCAACACTGTCCCCCAAGTGCGTAAGGAGAGTAGCATCGTCAGGAAGAGCAGACGCATGTGCCAGAAGGGTGGGGAAACACCAGCGCAGGAGGCCAAAAGCTGTGGGCACTGCTATTTCAAAGAGAAACAGTTGCGTGAAGGACAAAAGGAGGCCATGCCGGGACTGTGAGAGGCCGAAACCATGTGTGGTCTCCACACTCGACAGTCGAGAACGCAGGTCCTATTTGGAAACAGCTTGTCTTTTAAAATAAAAATACACTTTACATGCATGAATCCACATATCTGATGCTCTGGGAGCTTAGCATCATCTTACTAGAAAGCCACATACAACAGAATATTCAAGAACATCTTGGGCTGCTGCATGTGTGTGTCGCTGCGCCCTAGAGTAGGAAATCCTGCTTTATGCTTCTCTTGTAAACTTCTGCGAGGACAGCTGCCCTGGCCTCTCCAGAGCTATGCAGGGACAGTGTGGGATGACAGGGTTGGGCCACCCTGCCAGGAAGTGCCAGGAGTCAGGTGGATTTTCACAGGAAGGGATGATACTTTTATTGTTTGTGAATGATTTCACTGACTACTTTGGAAAAAAGTTTGAAGAATACATCAAGTGACAGTTTTCATTTAAACATGCAGAGATATATGAAGAAAAGCACATAAAACTAGAATGCAGACATTAAGATTTTAATGGTAGAAATGAGCTCATACCCAATAATGTTTAGACTTTTTAAAAAATCATTTATTGAGTGCTGGGGTTACAGGTGTTCCCCAGCATGCCCAGTTTCAGTGACTCACACTCCAGCACGGCATGCAGTACCGGGGATCAAACCCAGTCCTTACGTTTACCAAGCAGGCACTTAAAGACTCCTGAGCTATCTCTGCAGCTCCGTTTAGGCTTTTGATATCTGTGACATGAATTAAAATGCACTTATCGTGTCATAATACACTACCTCATCGTGGCCCAAATTCCTGCTGCAAAAGGCATTGTGTTTCCTTTTTACTTCCCAGAAGGAACCCCACAACCTTGGCCCAGGTTTAGAACACAGGTATTGTGCCATCTGGAGGGCTTCCAGTGAATGATGGTCAGTCATTTCCAGGCTAAAAGCTTTCCTACAGACATAATTGATTAGCTGCCACCATCTCTGGCTTTTTCTTTTATATATGACATTTTTCCTTGAAATTAATATTAGTGAAAGAGAAAGCTGAATAAAAACACAATAAATTTTTCTATCTAATTCAGTTAGTACTCGCTGGCATTGATCAGGGAATCTGAAAAACTTTGTATTGAAATTTAGATGCTAACCATTGAGTTATTACTGTGGGGAGAAATGTATCCAATAGCCCAGCCACCAGTGACCTCTTGGCTCATATTAGCAATAAATGGAAAAGTTTGGAAGGATGAAGACCAAACGTTAGGGACAAAAACACAGACAGTTACTCCTCAGACTAGCTAACTTTAGCCCACAGTGGGGTTGTGACTTCTACCTGTACTTTTAAAAAAGAAATAATAATGATAATCCACTTTACTCTTATTTTTTTGTTTGCTTATTTCCTTGAGAAGCTGGTTTTCCCAGCACTTTTAGTCTCTTTCTGTCATCTCACCCTAAGATTTGGATCCCAGAAATTGATTGGGTGCAATCTGGGATTATAGATTCAAAGTCAGTCTTTCCTAGCGAATCCTAACTCAGGGAAACATCAGCTATGCCTTGTGATGATGCTCTCTGCTTGGGCAATGGTCGCACCCCACTGTCACCCCCAAGGACCGTATGCAAGAGCGGATCTTGGAGAGAACTGGACTGACCCCAAGTAACGGTTCTTTTGTGTCCTTAGATCGTGTGGCCCGTGTCTTACACCAGAAGAGATGAGTGCAAGTGGGCTGGGAAAGACATCCTGGTAAGCCTTGCTCTCCTGAATTGTTCTAGTGATTTCCTCAGTAAGTTTTTCACTCTGCTCTTACTGTTATTAAAAAGTCTACTAAGTCTCACACTTGGGAGTCCAATCAATCTCAAGGAATAAAGTGGTGCTGTTCAGTCCTGGAAGCACCAAGCATTGTGGGTCCCTGGGGCTAATCTTTGTTAATGAAGTTGTGTGCATGCTGGGCTGAGCTATACCCAAGTATCTGCACATGAAAAATAGTTGCAATTCGTAGATAAAATCGCAAGAATTGTAAAACCATAATTGCATGTTACTTATATATTGTCAATATTTTGGAATGTTCAAAACGCAAAGAATGCATTGTCAGAGTTTCCTCTGTCTGAAAGCGTTGTCCTTTGGAAGAAGCTGCCCGGACCAAGCAGGAGCCCTGTGGAGGCGCGCGAGTAGGTGGCGCGTTGCCAAGGGACAGCGTGGCTGATTCCGAACAGCTGCCCAGGGCGGTGATTATATTCGGGGGCTTGAGCGGGGCCCTGAGTTCACGGGAAAAGTTTGGCCCGCGGAGCAGCAGCGCGCCCACAGGGGCGGAGGGTGGGTGGGCGTGGGGCGCACGACGGGAGCACGCCAGCGTGGCCAGCCCGCGGGTGGCCGTGGATGCCGGGTGGAGCGCAGGCAGCACAGTGAAGTCTCCTGGCGCTAGAGGGGTTTGATGAGGCCGAGCGAGCGTAGAGCCAGCCGGCGGCACAGCACTGGGTGGTGGCCCTGCGGGAGCACCCCTCGGGCGGGGCGGGGTCAGCGGCAGGACCGCAGCGGCAGAGGCCGTCCCGTGTCACCGCGGCGAGGGAGCGCACCTGCGCGCCTGCCCGGCTGTCACCTCCGCAGCACGCGGCGGGGCGGCTCTGGATAAGGAAAGGCGCGCGGAAGTCGGCCTGTTCTCGCTCCGGCCACCCCACGCGGCGCGTCGGTGGGGACTTTAGAGGAGGAAAGAGAGCAGGAGGAGTGCAGGCCGGGAGGGAGGACGGTGGCGGCTTCGAGCTCGCCCGCGGAGGGGCACCACGCGGTGCGCGACTCCAGCGCTGCTGAGCAGCGTTGGTGGCCTGACTGGAGAAGTCAAGGCCAAAAAGCACGACTAGTGGGCAAGAAATCTGCTGACACTGAAGTGACCCATTGACCATCAGCAAATTACGTTAGAAGCGCTCAGGGCAACTGCTGAGCAGCACGGAGGTGGCAGCCGTGCCTTCCCAGGCTGCTCTTTGCAGGAATGCGGGGGTCCGCATTTTCAGAGTGCTGAAGCGAACCTCGTCATTACTGAGCAAGGGGCCCGTGCCGGCCCTATGCTCGTTTATGGAGCGCGTTGTAAATGTAGTTTTAACGATAGATTTATGGGGCTGATTTGGCCACTCCCACTTTCTTGATCAGGGGATAATTCATCATTTCCTTTAAAATCTTTTCATTAAAATTTTGTGACATTTTGTGTGTTGGGCTAAGGTTAAGACAGTTCCTGTGGCTGGCGGCGCTTTCAGTGTCCCCTGGATATTTGATCTGAACTGCACCTAACACAGGTAGTAAACAAAGGACAGGTGAACAACATCTCCCTCTTTCGGCTCAACAAGAATGTGAGCAGAAGCAGGAACCAGGTCCCAGGATTCCCAGGAAGTTGAAAGACACACAAGCGAAACTATTAAAACAACGTGATATTAATTAACCATGCCAATGAAGAAATTGTAACCATTACCCTAATTGGTCTTCTCTAAAAAGAGCCAACTGACTTAGCGTAAGAAAACATGTGCTCCAGCATCGTTTTACATTCATTAAATCAATGTATTTGTGTTTTCACTTTATTGAGTTAATTTTAATGAAGTTTCCTTAAAATCCACAATGGATTTGATTTAACACAGAATGTAAAGAAATACTGAAGCACAAATATGTTCTCACGCTACACTAGTTGGATGAATTGTTAAAAGATTAGGTAGTGTAATGTCACAGCATTGAACTGTTCACGATGCACCTACGTCTGCCGCAGTGTGTGGCACACAGCCCAGGTGCTAGCAGAGCTTTGGCTACAAGCTGCTATGATGCGCTCAGAGACCGTGTACCTCTTTAGGCGCAGCAAATGCCACGTGTCTCACTCCTTGTTAGTTTACCTTCATCAAGTTCACAAGCATTTTAAATAGCCTGACAAGCACAGCAAGTTACTCCTCTTATGAAGCTAGCCCTGAAATCCTGATTACAGTGCCCACGGCTCCGTCAGGTCAGCAGCCTCTGCAGCTGTTGAATTCACTGTGACTGGGCAGCACCACAAGGCCTCAGTGTTCAGGTCGGAGGAGGAGAGACAGGGACAGAGATGGGGACAGAGATGGGGACAGAGACAGACCAAGAGAGTGATGGAGACAGAGAGAGAGAGAGAGAGAGGAGGGACCTCTATAAAAGATAAGAATACTTTTGGAAGCCCAACAAAAACAAGAGGAATCTGTCTTCCTAGTGAATGAATAATCTGATGTAATCATTAAACCTAATATGTTTAGTGCTTGGCATTGTTCCCTTAATATTGCTTTACATTGATCTATTACTGAAGATGCATTTCATGCATTAACAACACATGTTATTAAAATTTATTTTGCCTATCAGGCAACCTCCTTTAAGTCTTGTCTCAATGCATGTATTCCCTGTATTTTAATAGGATTTCTGGCATCCCTTGGTCAGTTTGACACTTTGGTTTACAGACCTATATTTACGCATTTCTTTTTCTACATTTGGTTTTAGAAATAGCGATTGGATAAATTCCTGGGATTTGTAACACTTCTTCCTTGATAATCACAAAAAAATTAATATCATTATTTACTTTTAGCAATAATTTAAACGACCAATTTGCAAGAAAGAGTCCCCTTCCCACACCTGCTCCATGAGTGGTGGGGACAATCTGTGGGATGCCACCCAGCCTTGCATGTGAGCAGCTGGCAGCCAGCAGGATGGAGAGCGGCTACTCTCAGAGAGTGCTTGCGATGCTACAGTCCCAGAGAACAGGGCTCCAGCGGCTCCTTCAGCCATCAGAACTCCAAGAAAGCCTTCAAGTAAGACCTGCCTGGATACTGGAGGCAGCACACCCACCAGCTCCTGCAGATGCTGTGTGTTCCAGAGGGAGGGTTTACGTCTCTAGAGTGATTTCCCTAGTGAAAATCCTCTGGAAGTCACAGGGCTCTGGCCAAGTCTTCCTGGGGAAGAGCTGGCTGCTCAGAACAGGAGCAGAGGCAAGGGCCACAGCCAGTTTATGCACGCTGCGAGTGGATACCCCACGGGGCTAGCCTGCTTCTGTCCTATGGCCCCAACAAGCCCCTGGCCTGGCCCCCCATAGCTCATATGCCACCAAGGGATGTATCATGCAGAAAGCAAGTGCTGCCACTCCCCCACACTGCTGGGAAGAGCAGCCTCTCATCGCTCTGCATCAAAGATATGCATTATTGCAATGGCTGGAATTCAGGCAACTGTCCCACAAAGAATGCATTCTGTGGTAGGTGTGGGGTCTACAGCTGGACACACCAATATGCTAAATGATTCATGTCGTTGTTGACACTGCATAGTAGTGTAGGTGTAGCTATCTCTATGCAACACACAAGCACATACATGCACACTCACATGTGCACAGGTGGCATAGGTGTATATAGTGGAAAAACATCTCTGACAGCATTAATCTAAAATGAATTTTTCTCTTGCAGGAGTGATTGCCCAGAATATAGAATATGACTTATTAATATGCATGCTTGGGGTTCAGGGCTCTGAACTTCACTGGGCTGTAGCATTTCTTTCATTAGAGAAACAAAGTGCTCATGAACTCTTCTGTTATTACTTAAGCTATTTGAAAAAACATGTAAGCCATAGACTGTTAGAAAGAAACCCTGGATGACAGGACAAGTACAACCCAGATATGTGTGTGCTGCCTGCTACTCTGCTCTTGTTTTTTATATTTTCCTAGTGCTTAAAATCCACTTTGTTGCTCACAATAACATTTCTATTGATGGATTAACTTCCTTGACCCTGTTTTGCAAATGAAAACTGAATCCGTGCTAAGCTGGTAGAAGAAGCTGTTTTGAATCAATAGCTCTCGGAATCTTCTTTGTTTATCCTGCTAAACCGGCTCTCCACACTGAGGTTCAATAAAACCAAATGGCAACCGTATGACTGCTAGAAATATTTTGAACATCATTAGAAATCAAAATTTCAACCATCTGAGAAAAACAGCAGAAAAAAGCAGATTCTCATAACATTCCGGTTCCTGGATGCATTTCAAAGCGTGGTCCATGCTTGCACCTGAACTGTGGGGCTGCTTGGAAATTCTGAGCCATTCTTAGCAGAGATTCGTAGTTCTTAGCAGGTGTTCATTTTTAATTTGACACTACCTGATAACACATCTAAGCCGTGCACGCAGCTCGAACTGCACGGCCCGAGCAGCGCTTGTGTCTGCCCTCATGACACATGAGAACGCGCACCGCACGCGCAGCTCAAGCTGGGCTCGCTCCAAAGCGCACACAGTGCCCACCGTGCACCATGCTTGCCTTCTGTGTGGTCAAGCGAACATCAACCTTCAGTTTTAAAGGTTTAGGATTTTAATGCAGGCATTTTATTTTATGTTGTTACTTATTTATTTTGGATTTTTGAGACAAGGTCTTGCTCTATAGGCCAGGCTGGTTGTGAACTCACGGGGTAGCCCAGGCACACAATCATTCTGTCTCAGCCTCCAGAGTGCTGCTGGGCCCGGAAGTTGCAGGCTATTTTTGAAGGCCATTTATGGGTACAGAGCCCTGGGAAACAAGTGTCCCTCTGAGCGTTCACCCACAGCCCGAGGCAGCACACAGAGCTCCCTCAGGGAGCTTCAGGTCCCACAGGGAAGGAAGGACAGGACTGACGCAGCCGCCCTCCCTGAGGCCCATGCAGCTCCTGTCCCTGCACTTGCTCTCTCTCTCCGGAAAGCAGCTCACCAGGCAAGAGGTGTCCCTGGCCATCTCCTCGCTGTCCTCTTATACTGC